GCTGGAAAACATCATCATTGTTTGTATCTGTAAAAGGCTTATCCTGGAAATATACACAGCTCGGAGGATATAATATGGTGCTTGCACGAGCTGAAATCCTCGCCTCCGGCGCCGCGCGCTGAGGCGTGTGTTTTGCGGAATCCCGGCTGTAGCTGCAGCTTATTTTTATTTCTGGCGACCAGCAGTCCTCGAGCGATGTTATCGGAACAAAAAATCCTAATCCAGGTGCCAGTTTCATGAAATATTTCACTGTTACTCGATCCTCCAGTCAGTGAAACGAGTGGAGGATCCAGTAACAGTGGAATATACTAGATAAATACCCTTAAGGGCTCTTCTCTCTGCCTACTCACGAGCGTTTTATAATAATTCAATGCGAACCCGGCTTGGACAGAGACTTTACGTATTTCTTATGACTCCAAAGATGTGTGAATGAATCATGTAGCCGTAAAGTAATTTTTTGCCTTTCTGTCTTATTTTAGTGAGTTGTTTGATGGTATCGAATTTTTGCAGCATTAATAGCTACGTTTGCTTCCCATGTCGTTGAGGTATAAAATGTATATTCTCTATTCGTTTAGTAATACAGCATCCGTTGTTATATTACTGTGGATGTTACAACTCATCCGCTGTGGAAGCGCTATAGGAGGGTCACAATAATCCCTGCACATACGCACGAGTAAGTATCTTCCGCGGAAGGCATTTATTAATCGGGAAGAACACGATCTAATCATATCGAAGAAGGTTGGCTGTTAATTAGTAGCTTGCATTTCGATCAATTATTCCAATGTACGCACTGGGGACTTACGAATTTCAACCCAATAATTTTACAACAACACAAATTTCGATCGAGCAATAAATAATGTGATTTTTGGTAATTTATGTGTCATCTTGACTTCCTTTTTAAATAATTGATTGAAATCTATAAGTAATAAGAAGAATAAATTATAAAGACAAAATCATATACCTATTGCAAATAGCAATATAAGTAAGTACCTACTTATTATAATCCACCAACTTCATAATATGAAGCTCGCTTCGCGTAATGCATTTAAAAATAAACAAGAGTTTACTATATTTTACATACAGTTTTAACAAAAATGATTTGTTAATCCTTTTGTCTGGATGATCGAAGCTAACTATAAAGCTTATAGCTCGTTATAATATTTCGTTTATTACTAAGGTAAGCACTACTTTTTTTCGCAAAAAATCGCGATTAAGAATAATTATGATAAAGTTGTATTGTTAAATTGTTCGATAGGGATTTAAAAAAAATAATTGAATACTGATAACAAAATCACCCTATACATATCATATAACTTACCATTTAGTTGAAAATCGCAAAAACCCGCACCTATTTTTAAACTTTTGACTTTGAATTTTTTTTTGCTTATGTCGGAACATTTCAGCTGTATGCGAATTATAGCAGGGTTGATATCTAACTTGACCGGACTATACAGAGTCTAGATACTTTATCTTTAGGTTTTTTTATTCCAGCTCGTGATTAAATCTCATATAAGAGGCAAACTATTTTGGTATTATACTATTATTATTATAGATACTCGTAGTTAAGCAAACACTGGGTTTTAATTCAGCTCCCTGACTGACACTAAATTGATTAAGGCGATTAGAGTCCTCAATGACCTTGGGCGTTTGACCTTCACGCCGCGAGCAACACCCGCGCACCCCGCACCAAAAACTCCGATTTGACACCGATCAAAAATACACGGGCATAGGTAGATACAGAATAGAAGCTCTTTCTTCATACATTACTGCCTATTATTTTAAACTTAAATTGATGAACCTTGATGTCGGTGTCATTTAACTCAGGCGTAAAGGTATTTAATAAAAATAACAAAATCCATGAACATTTTGTACGGGATAAAATTTTATTTTATTTTTCGTAAATTTTCTAATACTTTTGTCGGTTCAGTCGTTCTCGAAATTTGAACAAACCCGACTTTATTACAAGCTTTTATTTAGCTTGCAATTNCCCTAAGTGAAGTAAAACCAATTTGAGGCTTTAACAGAGTAAGCTAGGTAATCTTTAAACCAATCTATTTCAACCTTCGGCACGGAGAGGGGTTAAGCATCTGTCTAAAGTACCAGATCGCTGTTGTTACTTACTACTTTCGTATTGTTACCTTGATATTTGATTAAAACGAGCATTTCAAATCAAAAACATTCCCAACATCCGAAGCCGGGTAAAATAAAGCGAGAAATAAAAATTATCGTCAATATTTTTTGCGAAATTGATTGCCCTGTAAGTACTTGCAGGATTTGGGTCAGGGTGAAAACTATGCTGGGAAAAGCGGCTGCTAGAGAGCAGTCGGAAAAAACTTCCTCTGTACTTCCTTCACTTAACTCACATGTAAAAGTACTTACATAAAAGTAATTTTGTGATTTTCTTACGATTTGTGAAACAACATTCTGTTAAACTTCAACCAGCAAATGTCCGAACTAGCCGAAAAATTGCTTAAAACACCCGATCTTAACACTAATCTTTCCAAAAGAACAATACTCCCAACTTACGGATCGTCGATCCCAAAAATGTTGACTTAAATACCTTCTTCAAACAAAGTGTTTGAAAACTGGGCCCTGAGCGATTATAATATTCAAGAGTTGCGGTAAGAGTAAATCATACTTAATTTGTATAAATTAGAATGGTCTATTTGCACGAGTCGAATTTGTTTTTTCTCTTTAAATATTATTTTTATCGTCTTCAGTAGGTAAAGTAGATGGGTATAAAGTTTTGGTCATAATTCATCTGATACTGAACGTGTAATACGAGTACAAGACGACGCGAAAATGCTGCTATAAATACTTATTAATTTTGCAAGCCAGTTCTTTGCTCCGCATTACTTAGGCCGCGGAAACAAAACTGAAGTCTTCCGTGAGCAAATGTGTCTCGGCACGTTTCTCTTGGAGGATGAAGTCCCGCGTCTGAAGGGAGCTCGCCGTCACCAGCCGTCACTTGCCGGATGCGTCTGCTTTGTTGGTTAACAGCGACCATTGTGCTGCCGGCGTTATTTCCTGGGGAACTTTTATGCTATTAATTATACGCCTGACAGTCTAAGGATAGGTAATTTTAAAAGGCTTTACAGACAGCTGAATAAAGATAAAGGCTGTTATGTGCTTTGGATCCGACAATTTACGGTAATTTGTGTTTAAATATCAAACTGACAAAGTATAACATTCATTTATAAAGCAGCTGAAAATAGTTTTCATCTGGTGATGATGCCTCGAGTCAATATTTATTTCTATTTCAGACATGTTTCTAATTTTTTAAATACTAGAGTAAACCAATCTTTTATCGCTGTAAATGAAAGAGGTTATTAACTCTTGAGTAATTTATAGCTGTTTTGCTAAAAAATGTGTGCCATAAGAAAATCCCAGTTGCCCTTGGGAAATCAAAAGGCTTCCAAAAAAATCGCGTCATTTTCCAAAATTATTTCTAATCCAGCTCCAGAATCTCGAAAGGGTGCGAAATATGTTGGAAAATATAAAAAAATAAATCACTTATATCGTAATTATATTTCGGGAACTCGTTTTCAGCCCGTTCTGTGATATATGTTTAAAAAATGTTACAGGCTTTGATTTATTTGGCTTCCTCTCTGGAATTTCATTGGGCAAATATTTGCTCGCACCTTGGTTTGTATTTTGTAGTACTTTGTAAGCTAATGGATCAATTAATCGTAGGAATATAAAAAAAAAAACCAATTTGTTGTTACATTTAATATTGAACATTACTATAAGCGTCAGTTTTTAGTAAGTATACTGTTTGTGATAAAAAATGTATTAAACAGAATCAGATGTAACGCAATTTGTGTATAAACAAATAAACTTTACCTAGCTTATCTAATAATCTAACAAGTTACGAGTATTTACGAATTCTTGGAAGAATTGAGATTTGTTTTCAGAATTTATAACGAATGAGAGTTTATAAGTTCTCGTGAAGTGCGCTCGCAAGAGCTTACTGAAATCGCAGGATAATGAAAGAGTTTTCACTTAGAATTTCGTGCGAAGTAGTTTCTGCGAATATAAATTAAAATATATAGTTAAAGTAGTGTTTATTTAAATTTCTAAAAAGTAACATTTCGAAAAAAATACACAAAATAAAAGATAAAAATAAGCAATCCAGTAAAAAATACGTATTAACGTATTTCATCAAATGTACACAATCATCATGCGACCGAGCCGAGTGAGAACAATGCTGCCGTGTTGGGGTAGCTTTATTTTTGATATCGCATTCACGCACTGACAAATAGTAAGCGCCTGCATTGATTGAGCCGTATTGGCGATATCCCTTGCAAACGGGGCTGTGACAGGTGAAACGAGGGCGGCGTTATGCGGTTAGAGTTGTTTAATTCATTTTAGTGGACTTAGTCCTGGTTATAACAAAATTAAGTGCATCGGTACAATGGGAAGCTGCAAGCGGAATTTAATTAACATATTCTTGAGATGACGTATCCTCTCCCTCAAACTGGCTAACTGTGCCCGCAACTTCGAGCGCATGGAAGTCCTTATACTCCTATTAGTAACCCATGGATTTATTTACATCTCAGAATTTACAATAAGTATTTACTGAGATTTTCAGTGATACAGAGACAGTTTTTCAGTCAATAAGTAGGTGTATCTCTCGATTTGAACCCTATCTTTTTTCTCAATGAGCACAGAATGACTCTTTCTACAATGTGTTATTTTTAAACAATAAGGGTTGATTCTACTGCTCAAATGCAACAACTTTTCCCAAGATACCGAAGTAAAAATATTATAATTATTAAACAACTACCTATACATACAATGACCATCAATCATTTAGTAGGGAACGCCATTTTTTTTGAGAATTTGAAATTGGTCCTATAGGAAAAATAATTGCATTTGGGCAGTTGAATGAGTTGAATCAGTCCTTTTGTTTTGTCAAGTATTTTTATTTGTATCAGAAGATTACCCTTGTGCCTCTGCTGTTACAAAATGATACCCTTAACTGATGTTCCCGTGAGCAGGGAGTACCCGTGCGACCACTACACGGCGATCATCAACGTGACGCTCATGTGCACGGGCTGCCCGCGTGCGCCGGTGCACGAGAGCGCGCTGCAGCTGCTGCAGCTGCTGGACAAGCGCTTCTTCGGCTCCGTGGGCCCGCTGCCAGCCGACGACGACGCCGGTAAGTTTAAAAAAATATCCATAGCAATGCAGGCGTTTGACTGCGATCGCACCTGGTGTTAGGTGAGAAGCACTCTAAGTGCCTATTCAGGCCTTTAAAAAGCCCGGATTATAGTGTTCGGGAAAGACAGCGAATTCCAGACCCTAGCTGTTCGCGTCATAAGAGTTGCGGCCTAGCTGGGAACTAACGCTTCTCTAACGATGTAGTCCTTGCAGCGTGGGTGAAGGTGCTAGCAGGTTCATAGGTTCCTCGACATCGAGGGCTCGACGGCTGACGACGACAGCGCAGAAACAGAAACTATTATTAGAACTCAGGCTTCTTTGACAGCTGTGGCCGTTGAAGGAGCCAGCAGATTCTCCAGTGACGCAACAAGCAACTGAGACAATGAAACTAAAAGCATTCTTCAATAGTTATAGTCCTTAGAACACGAAATTAAGGTTAAGAGATATTCTTCAGCATCGCGGGATGCCATGTCAGCGGGCGACAAAAACGGTAAGATTTATTTAATTTATTTATTTAAGGTAAAGATAAGACATCCCAAATTTTAAATTTGAGTAACAGTTAACCATCATCGTTAGTTGGTGGTTTTTTAAACATGCATCTACCAAACATTCAAAGCGTAAAAACTGGAATTGACTTGTATCACGCAAAACACTGAGCAAAAAGAAATAAGCGTATCTATTGAATTAGTTGCTTCTGGTCGACTGGATTAGTCGCCCAGCGGCGAAAAACGATGTTATGTTGCCGGCATTGACACCGCGAAAATAATTTAAATAATTTTGACGTAAATGAAATTGTCGCCGGGTTGCCGTGTGAAAAGCTCTACGTTAGAGTTTGAAAAATAAAAGAAAAGATGAGAACTGTATTCCGTGTGATGTGTCAGAACGGGGACTTTGAAAGGAAACCGTTCTGGCTCAGACTTCAAACCTTGTTTGATCAACCACTTGGTATAAGGTAAGAATGCAGTAAACATGTATTGTTATTGTCATAGGTACTATACGAGACACGTTCCAAAAATTTTTGATTTCCATATACCAACAATATTTTTTTTACAAAGTAGTAATACCTGCCCCAGGTATGTATTAACTTAGAATAACTCGTTTCTTTTTAAAAGGTAGTTGGCGCAACTTAATTTCATGTTTAGTTTGCGTCTGACACGCGTATACGTGGGGCACTTTTACGCCTTTTACACAACAAAAGCACAAGAAAATATTTTATTTTTCTTGAAACTTACATTTTTAGGATCTACTCAAAACTTGAGAGTCAGACATTAATAGTAGTTTATTGCATGAAATATTTTATTGTAGAATGCGATGCGTAGCGATATCGTATGTAGTCCGCGTCATGTCCCTTTCGATGTTATCAAATTACAATATCATAATATTTTTTCTTACTTACAAAGCGCGTATGAATTACTTGTGTGTAAAGTCTTGAAATTATAATATTGATGGTAATGTAATTATTGAGACCAAAATTTTTCAAACGTCATCGAAGGTTTGGTCCTGCATTATTCATTCCTCAGCACCTGACTTACCAAAGAGCCCTTCTTATAAATGAGCCGAGGCTTGCGCAGAATGGTTACAAATTCCGTCAACAATTATAAAGCATTTTCCAGGGGAAGCGCAAATTGTGGTCTGCACCAAACAAAGTGTCTGCGCCTGAACCCGCCGCGGAGTCCGACTAAGATTCTTTATCATATCTTATACACTCTCAGAAAACTTATCCTTAAAGGTTAACAACACAAGCTATGATAACAATTAAATTCATCCAATAAACAAAGTAGAATAATTTTCCTCGGATGGTTCGTTTCGTATAACAAGATTTATTATAGAAGAGACGTTATTATAACATCACAGTGCACAGCGTTTTAGAGGTTTCTTTGATCAACAAAGGCTAGACACAGGATGTTGCGAGAAGGAAAAATACGGGGCCTGAACAAATTTCTTCTTACGGAAAAATTAAAGATATAGGCGATGTAATTTCGCCAGAAAGTGATGATAACGAAAATCATAATTGATGTTGTAGATTTTCAGAAATCAAACACCTGGGGATTGTTATGTTTGTTATAGATTTAGTTTAGATAAACCATGTTTATGAAATCTTTACGCAAATGTAACTTGTTGATTAAATATTTGTTGACTAAATAATCCATCAAGTAGGTATTTTTTATAGTTAAAGTTTCTTATCGTTTTATCAATATTAACTTCAAATATGCAAATATTATCTGATTGATGTTCATTTATTAATTGAAATCATACGAACTTGAAAGATCAGTGTGATTAATTTCATGAATGGTTTCTGTTTTAACTTATCGTCATCCATCATTATATCTATCATCTTAGTATGTATCTATTTATTATATTATTTTATATATTATTTATGTATGTGTATATGTAGCTTATTTGTTTTGCCGTCGCTTTGTTTTATTTAATTTTTTTTTTGTTATACCGCCAAACTAATTTTTCTGCATAACCCAAAGGTAAACTGGATGAGAATGCCTTATGGCATTAAGTTCGCCTAATGTTAATATTTTTGGCATTGAAGTATAAATAAATAAATAAATAAATTAATTTGTATTTGAATTTAATTTCTTCGACAAGATATAAAGGGCCAACTACAGTCTGCGCCCATAGAAATTGTTAATCCTCTTATACTAATAATTATAGTATCATCGAAATATACTGAATTATGAGTTACTAGCTTTCCGCCCGCGGCTTCGCCCGCGTGGAATTTTGTCTGTCACAGAAAAACTTTATCGCGCGCGTCCCTGTTTCAAAAACCGGGATAAAAACTATTCTATGTTCTTTCCCGGGACTCAAACTATCTCTATGCCAAATTTCATCAAAATCGGTTGCGAGGTTTAAGCGGGAAAGCGTAACAGACAGACAGACAGACAGACAGACAGAGTTACTTTCGCATTTATAATATTAGTTGGGATAACGTTGCCTCGTGTACACTACTGCAACGTAAATAACAATAATGGATGTATGTAGTGTAATAATAATGAATAAGTTTGTTCCGTTCATTTGTTATTTCGATATTGTTCCACCGAGCGCTGCAGAAAGTTCCACGAATTCATTACGTGTCCGCATCAGAATATGTTATTTTAGTAAATATTTCAACGTTACTCCTCCAAATAATTGTTCGGAAATACATTCCCGTCTACTAAAATAATTAAGGTTTAATGCCTACCATATTATTGTGTTCATTTATCGAAGGACTACTAAACTAACAAGGTTGTATTTCTTGACCGTAATGAGTGTAATAGCCAGTTCTTTGGCACGCTAGTGTAACCCATAAATAACCCTTACTGCGAGTTGAGAACTGATAATACATTTGAACCGATTAAATAGAAAAAGACTCAACGATGATTATTGCACGAGCCTTCCTCCTTGTCCGTAGCCTAGAAACTATAACAATAATTTATAAAAACCTTATTTTTTATTTCCATATCGACGAATCCAAAATAAATTAGCCCAATAATACAAGTTCCTAGTTTTGCACGTTCATGCGTATTTGCCTAATTGTCTACATAACTGGAAATCGTACTAATTGAATAATAAACACACGTAGATTCTCTAAATCGAAAATACCGTATCAAATGTTGTCAATTAATCCGTAAAATTGGAATGCTTCATTTGTTTTGTTCGTGAAATCTGACCCATTGTTACCATAAACATTTTTACAATCGGTGAGGCTTCTGGAAGTTACGTTGATTAATGAAGTGGGTTGAAACCGCTCGTCAATAAAGATTTGTATTCTGGGGTAAGTCTCGACGACAAAATCCATAGTCTGCTCCTCGTTTTACAAGGCTTTATTTCGGGATGCCCCTACCACGATAATTAGTGTGTCGTCAGGCGCTTTTTTATAATATTTCTTTATACGTACGACCCGTGAAGCCACTGCATGTAAAGGCCCCGAAAGGCCCTTGACACGTCTCATTATTCCTTATCTCAGATAGCGCGGTCGCGTCGTTAGCGCGCTGGCGGGCGCGGAATCATTTGACGTTCAATAATAGACGGCTCGCTGCCCGCACACATCAATGTAACCCTATAACACTGCCTGTATTTTAGGGTTCGAGTTCATTCATTCAAAGTGGGAGTACCTTGAGCTGTCTTGTTGGTGGTTGATGCGTCAAAGATGATTCCATGACTTACTTATTAAAAGAAAAGTATATGCATTACCTGGGCTATTTTAAACTCTTAATCCAACATAATAAAGTATTCTTAATAACACACTAAATATTATTCAGTCGAGAGCGCCAAAACCGCCTAGTACGTTATAACAAAAATTTTAGAAACGTCTTTAGAAATAACATACAATAACCACTAAGCAAAGAAAGCAGACAAAACAATACGACGGCGAAGCATTGTATTGGTGCGCGAAATTAAATTCTTCTTCTAGACGATTTCTCGCTGCAATGGGTCGTGGCCATTATGTGGAAATGGACACACGACGACTTATATCAATTCTGGAGTCCTCACAATCACTTTAAAATTACATACTTCAAATTTAGTTTAGCATTAAATCCGAGCACCATCTGCATCATCATCATCATAAAAACAAAATGTGTATCTGAAATAAACACGAAAAACATGAAACTGAATTGCACTGAAAAATATCAGATCGGAATTGGTTTTTCACACAGTGAAAACCAATAAATTCTTGCTTTGGATATTTCACCCCACGTTGTAGTAAAAAAACTGATATCCTGGTAGTTTCATTTTGTGGTTGTGTATAAGTAAACACCGGATCAAAACAGAGCACTGGTGTGGTCAGCGGCGGGTTTCATTTCTCGCTCCATAAAATGCAAAAGCGGTGGCGAGTCCGGCACCCCACAGCGAGTCGCTGACGCTGCTGACGAGGGTGGCCCTGGTTTAATATTGTTCCCGTTTGTTGCCACTGCCTAACCGCCTAATTTGGTATTCAAAATCATCTAATTACGTCCATTCGAATGAACTTCAGGTGCAATGTTTGCTCGCCTGCATCAATTAAAGCCT